TGATCCCTAATTCGTTTTTCTAATTTCTCTTTAATTTCAGGTGGTAAGGGTCGGCATTCCTGACTAATGACTCGTCTTGCTGTTTGTTTTGTTCTTGCCATAATTGTGGTGATGCTCAGCATTCAATTCATTGAAACAAAATCAACGTTCAATGGAGCAGTCGCTGTTCTCAGAATTTTTTTCGTTTCGGAAAATGCTGGAAAAAATTGTTTGACATTTCCAACAAATTTCCATTTCGAAACTCAAAAAAAATATCTTCCAATACAACACAAGCGAGTTCTTCTTTTCGCATCTCTCTCCGAGGACCACCTGCCTTTTTTTGACAAGAAGCGAGAAGAACGATATCGATTGAACACCTATCACTGATTGTTCACATATCGGATCACCACAAGTGGGATTGTTGTTGTGATTCGAATAACGAGACAACTCTAAGATTGTTGTTGAGCCTTTCATGAACAAGGCTAACTCGACTACGACTCGTTGTTTATCTGTTCTTGTAGGAGGAGGAGGAGAAGGATCCACAACAGGAAATTTGAACAATACTAGTGGTAGTAGTAGTAGTATTATTATTGGTGGTAGTAGTAGTAGTAGTAGCAATAGAGAGACTATCAGTCCGCCGACCATCCGAAAAGTAAATACAGCATCCATCCACACCAACACCAACACATCACCTTTTCAGTCGGAAGTTGTGGATTACATTTCTCATTCCGACGAAGAAGCGAGCCACGAAGAAGAAATAACAAAACCATTATTTAAAGATTGTACAATGTTTAGCGAGACATCACATATCATGGGAAGTCCATGTCTCGATGTGGATCAATTTTTAGATCCTGAAACTGAAAAATTGAAATCTTATGATCGAAGAAATATCTTTGAAAAACTTTTTGATTTTACGCTCCGAAGAAAGAAATATTTTGGAAGAACGATTTTTCTTAATGGACAAACGGTACCGAAAGGAAAGAAATATCCTGCTAATGTGGTTCGAAATAGGAGATATAATTTTATAACATTTCTTCCTCTGGTTTTATTCGAACAATTCAAGTTCTTTTTTAATTTATATTTTCTTGTGGTGGCACTGAGTCAGATCATTCCACAGTTACAAGTTGGTTTTTTATTTACCTATGTGGCTCCATTAGCGTTTGTTTTGTGTGTTACTTTGTTGAAAGAAGCCTATGATGACATTAAACGATGGAGAAGAGACATTGAATCTAATAGCCAGAAATTTAAGAGACTTTCTAAAAATTCTACTTTTGAAACAGTTCCAAGCTCAAAAATCAAAGTGGGTGACATTATTCAAATTGAAACTGATCAGAGAATACCAGCAGATTGCATTTTGCTTCGAACGACAGAAAAAAGTGGAGCATCATTTATCAGAACCGATCAACTTGATGGTGAGACAGATCAAAAACTGAGACATGCTATTCCTACTACACAAAAACTTTCGTCTGACTTTGATTTAAGGCGAATCACTGCGTGTGTTTTTGCAGAAAAACCAAAGAAAGAAATTTATGATTTTATCGGAAATTTCACACTCTATTCGACAGATGGACGAGTGGAGGTGGTGGAACCTTTAAGCTTAGAAAATACATTATGGGCGAATACAGTCGTTGCCACGGGTACAGTAATTGCTCTGGTCATTTACACAGGTGTAAGTACTATTGGTGTCGTATCTGTTTACAACAATAGATGACACGAATCATTCAAGGCCGAAACGAGAAGTGCACTGAACGCAAGTGAGCCAAGATCAAAAGTTGGAAAACTGGATCGTGAACTGAATACCTTGTCTAAATTTTTATTCTGTCTAATGGTCGTTGTGAGTGTACTGATGGTAGCACTGAAACAATTCCAAGGTCTTTGGTACATTACCATTTTTAGATTTGTGTTACTGTTCTCTTCGATCATTCCAATCAGCTTGAGAGTGAACTTGGATATGGGTAAAACAGTATATAGCTTCTTTATAATGAAGGATAAGAAGATTCCTGGTACAATCGTTCGAAACTCCTCAATTCCAGAAGAATTAGGTCGAATTAATTATTTATTTACCGATAAGACTGGAACATTGACACAAAATGTTATGATTTTCAAAAAACTACATTTAGGAAACATCTCATTTGACGAAGAGGCATTAACGGACATATTGGAACATGTAGAAAAAACATATAAGGGACAAAATGTAACGAACAATGACCTACAAGTTAAGGAATTTATTGAAGCTCTTGCTTTGTGCCACAATGTGACACCAATTGATCCTACCTCTACACATCATCATCGTGAAGAAAGCATGTATCAAGATGAAGATGGTGCAGCCGTTCAAACTGACATTCAACTAAACAATTCTGAGAGAGAATATCAAGGTAGTTCACCTGACGAAATTGCACTTGTGAAATTTGCAGAAAAATCAGGATTAATTCTTGAAAGCAGAACATTGAACTCAATGACTTTGAAAAATCCTCTTGGAGAATTTGAAGAATATGAGGTGTTAAATATTTTCCCTTTTACATCAGCCTCCAAGCGGATGGGTATTATTGTGAAATTCCTCTCGAGTGGCAAGATTGTATTTTATTGTAAAGGTGCTGACTCTGTGATGAAACAACTTGTAAAGGCATCACAAAGCGAGTGGTTAGATGAAGAAGCAGACAATATGGCTAGAGAAGGATTGAGAACATTGGTATTTGGAAGTAAGGTTTTAACTGAAGACCAATACATTCAATTCCATAATGAATACAAAAAAGCATCTGCCCTCATTAATGATCGAGCATCTGAAATGGAACGAGTACGTCAAAAGTATTTGGAATGTGAAATGAATTTATTGGGTGTGACTGGTGTTGAGGATAAGCTTCAAGAAAATGTACAACGAAGTCTTGAACAACTTCGACATGCTGGTGTGAAAGTATGGATGCTTACAGGAGATAAAGTCGAGACTGCAATTTGTATTTCGAGAAGTACAAAACTTGTGGCAAGAGGTCAATTTATTTTCGAAGTCATCTCCAATGATGAGAAAAGAATTGAGGAATTATTGGAAGAATATGAAACTGAATATGCTTCTTCAGGTGCTGGATTTTTAATTGATGGAACAACCCTTCATATTGCTTTAGAAAAGTTACCAAACAAGTTTGTATCAGCTGCCTGCAAAGCTACGAGTGTGGTGTGTTGCAGGTGCAGTCCAACTCAAAAAGCAGAAGTTGTCTCTCTTGTTAAGAAAAAGACAAAAAATCAAACGGCTGCTATTGGAGATGGAGGAAATGATGTCTCTATGATTTTATGTGCTGATGTTGGAATAGGAATAGAAGGAAAAGAAGGAAAACATGCTTCTTTAGCAGCAGATTTTTCGATCAAACAATTTTCATATTGCACTGATTTAATCTTGTGGCATGGAAGAAATTCTTACAAACGATCTGCTGCTTTAGGACAATTTATCATTCATAGAGGGTTAATCATTTCTGTCATTCAGGCCATATTCTCAGCCATGTTTTACTTTTCAACAATTCCTATTTTCACAGGGTAAGTTATGAAATGATGACACGTCACAAATGACATTTTCTTGATAGGTGGCTTTTAGTGGGATATTCAACCTATTACACGAACTTTCCAGTATTCTCATTAGTGTTGGATGAAGATGTTAAGAGAGAAACAGTGTATCTATTCCCAGAACTCTATAAGGAGCTTCAAAAAGGGAGAGTCCTTTCATTTAAAACATTTCTCATTTGGACTCTCAAAGCTGTTTACCAAGGTGGTATTATAATGATCCTCGCCATCTTTTTATTTGAAAATAACTTTTTGAGAATTCAAAGTATTAGCTTCACGGCTCTTATTTTAACAGAAATTGTGATGGTTTCTATTGAAGTCCATCGTAAGCTTAATCCTCTGATTATTCTTTCGGAAATTCTTTCAATTGCAATCTACTTTGCTTCCATTTTCCTATTGCCTACCTACTTTGACACTGCTTTTATAATGACTTTCGACTTTTGGTGGAAGTCAGTGGTGATTACCGTTGCAGCGACAGTGGTGATTGTGGTTGCCAAGTTGGTGCATAGCAAGATCAATCCTCCTGTGTGGAGCAAGTTGAACGAATCATTTTTGTAGGGTTAAATATTTCAGGAAACGGTTTTACTGTTGCAACTTTAAGGCCTTGAATAGGTTTCAGGAGTGCACAGTTTTCTTGAAAATTGATTTTATTTCCAATCCATACAAGCTGCTTACAATGACCTTAAACTTGAGGATTAGAATTAAATAAGAATAATGTAAAATAAAATTAAAGGGTCAAAGCGTGGGTTACAAGTTCTTCTTGCTCTTGGTTGTGTTTCGAAGCATAACCAGTAGCAGGAGAAGCAGAAATCTTTCTACCAAAGTATTTGAAGTCTGTTTGCTTGTGCTTTCTGCCATGAGCATGCTTGAGACATGTCTTCAATCTTGGATAAACGTGCAACCAAGGTCCATAATTCTTTGGTTCTTCTTGGCACCAAGTAATCTCGGCATTGGAATACTTATCCATAACTTCAATGATCTTGTAGAATGGGAATGGAGCCAATTGTTCAACACGTACAAGTGCAATGTTGTTGATCTTCTTTTGAGTTCTGGAAGCAAGGAGATCATAATAAACTTTTCCTGAGCATAAAACAACTCTCTTAACTTCCTTTGGATCACTGAATGCTCCTGTTTCATCGTCAATCACTTGTCTGAATGATGTACCCTCAGCCATTTCAGCCAATGTTGAGGCAGCTTCCTTCAATCTAAGCAAACTCTTTGGTGTAAAAACAACCAAAGGCTTTCTAAAGTCACGATGCAACTGTCTTCTCAAGACGTGATAGAAGTTTGCTGGTGTTGTACAGTTTACAACTTGCATGTTTGTTTGTTGAATTTGGAGTGTTTTGCTTGAATCCTTTTCTGGAAGTGTTTCATCATCTTCATCACAAAGTTGCAAATAACGCTCAATTCTAGCATTACTGTGTTCTGGGCCTTGACCTTCATAACCATGTGGAAGAAGGAGTGTGAGACCTGACGATCTCATCCATTTTTGTTCAGCACAGGAAAGGAATTGGTCCACAATGATGGATGCACCGTTGGCAAAGTCACCAAATTGTCCTTCCCAAATTACGAGTTGGTTTGGCGATTCAAGTGAATAACCATATTCAAATCCGAGAACTCCATATTCGCTCAAGCTTGAGTTTGCAATAGTAAATTCAACATTTGGATTAACATGTTTGAGTGGAATATATCTGTTTTCGTTTTCTTGATCAATGACAACAGCATGTCTATGTGAGAAGGTACCTCTTTCAACATCTTGACCGCTGATTCTAACATGGAATCCTTCTTTCAAAAGAGTGGCATAAGCAAGAGTTTCTCCCATTCCCCAATCTAAACCTTCACCGCTTTCAATCATTTGGGTTCGTTGGCTGTACACACGAGCAACACCCTTATGTGGTGTGAAGCCAGTTTCTGGCAAGGTTGAAACCTGCTTACCAAGCTTCTTTAATTCAGCAAGTGGAACACCAGTAGTTCTGATTGCAGAATATTCGTGTGGAGTCTTCATTCTGTCCCACTTACTTCCTTGTAAATACCAAACTTCTCCAGTTACATCTAACTTTTCATCAGTCTTTGATCTAGCAAACTCCAAGTCAAAGGTAGTCTTAACTTGCTCTTCGACTTGCTTAATATGATCTTCCGTAACAATTCCTTCCTTCAAAAGTTGAGTACGATACTTGCTAATGATTGGCTCCTGTTTAGCAATTGCCTTGTACATGATTGGTTGTGTAAACATTGGTTCATCCAACTCATTGTGACCTCTCTTACGATAACAAACAATATCAACAACTACATCAGCATGGAACTTTTGTCTATACTCAGCAGCCAATTTAAATACCTTGACAACAGCAGTTGCATCATCTCCATTAACATGGAAAATTGGTGCATTAAGGTATTTGGCAATATCAGAACAGTATGAAGTTGATCTAGAGTTTTTAGGATTAGTTGTAAAGCCGATTTGGTTGTTCACAACAACATGAACAGTACCACCGGTTCCGTACTCTTCCAATTGACTCAATCCCATTGTTTCATAAACGACACCTTGTCCAGCAAAAGCAGCATCACCATGAAGCAGAATTGGTAAAACTCTTTCTCTCTTGGAATCCTTCATGAAAACTTGTTTTGCTCTTACTTTTCCTTCAACAACTGGATTAACAGCTTCCAAGTGAGATGGATTTGGAACAAGAGAAAGTTCAACTTCCTTCTTTGTGAAAGGAAGATAACGTTTGCAAGATGTACCCAAGTGATATTTCACGTCACCAGATCCTAACTTGTTTTCAGTCTTACCCAAGAATTCTCTAAAGATTTGCGCCAATGGCTTTCTCATTACGTTTGCCAATACGTTCAAACGACCTCTGTGTGGCATACCGATAACAAATGAATCAACACCCAATGATGATGAGACATCAATCAAACTCTTGAGACCTGGAATTAAAGATTCGCAACCTTCCAAACCAAATCTCTTTGTTGTAGGGAATTTGTTTGCCAAATATTCTTCGAACATGTGACTGTAACTCAATCTTTCCAACAGAACTTTCTTTTCATCAGGTGTGAGGTCAACTTGAGTTGGTGTTTCAATTCTTTCGCGCAACCAGTTACAAACTTCCCTGTCATTAATATGCATATATTCCCATCCGATAGTTCCGCAGTATGTTTCTTGAAGTCTTTGCAACAAAGTTTGCAAAGTTAATGGCTTGTTGTTTGGAGAAAGAGAAGAAGAGAGGAATCCCTTGATTAATTCTTGCGACAAATCAATTGGTGTGTTTGGATCCATCTTGGAAAGGTATGGATAGTTTTCAATGTGCTAAATACCACGAGTAATGTTGTCGGTCATATGATGGTAGAGTTTTGAATTATTTCCAAGTAAACAATAATATTATGGTCAATCAAAATGATACATTGATAAATATTTAAAATTTTGTCGTTTTGAAATAGAATTATTGTAGTCAAAGTGAAAACAAACGGTCAAAACAACAAGGAAAATAATTGATAATTAAACATACCAATTGAGGAATATCATGAAAATCAAGGTCAGCAGCATACATTCCTAATGGATCCAACTTGCTGACGTGATGACCGAATACTTGGAATGATCTAATAAGTGAAATGATCTCACCTTGTGCTCCAACTTCAGGAGATGCAACGATAGAAGCTTGCTGCGAAGAGAAGACACGTTGTGCTCCACCTGTTTGAGAGAGGGAGGCAAAGTAATTTTGCCATTCAGAAGAAACACTGTTAGGATTCATTCTCCAGGCAAGTTCCAGCTCTTCCAGATATTGCGAGTTTGATCCAACCCAAGCAAAGCTATCGGATGGCATCGTCGAGTTGCTGTTTTTCAAAATTTGGCTGGTGCTCATCGTTCTTTGCTGCGAGGAGGCTTGAATCATACGTATACTTTCAGTACTACTCATCTTGGAAGAGAAGCCAATAGTATTGTTGGTTGTAGCATGGAAGGATTTCTTTGATGCCTTCATCAACGTTTGCTTGGCTACAGACGTTGAATTTTTGCTCACGATGGAAGCTTTGATTAATTGTGATTTGAGCATTTTTTTGTGGTTGATTTTTGTATCGGCTTAATTGGGAAGTTTAAGAGGACCAAATCGGAGCGGCTAGAAAAAAGAGAATTGATAATGTTGTTGATGAATACCTCTCAGGAGTGTTATCAAATTTTAACGATGATGATTAAAAACGATTGAAAATGTTGAGGTGATGACTTTTTCTTTGGTGTAGCCAATCATAATTTGTAAAGAGATTCTTCAGGGACAAACAGTTCGCTCAATTTTTGAATTGGAAAATTCGCGAAAGAAATAATGTGCGATGGCAAACGCGATTTTTATCGATGGCCGTAATATTTGAATTAAATTGGTGATCAAGTAATTTCCAACAGCTTCTGAATGAATGGGTGACCATATCAATCCTGTGCTGAAGAAGAAAGGAGGAAGCAGCATTGATGGGTAATATCGTCTGATAATGGTCCTATTTGTTCCAAAATTATTTTTGCATTCGATGAATCAATGAGACCAAAGATGATTTTGTTCAAGGATTGCGCAAGATGTGAAATGCAATAGAAATCGGCATACACATAGAGACTTAGTAGCTCTTCGAGAGGCCAAGTTTCGGGATGGTATTCAAAATCAATGCCATACACATGATCCAGAATGCAGGAAAGTATTTTGGAGTTGAGAGGAGATTGGGGAAGCGGTTCAAGAGTGATTTCATCAAAACTTTCTGTTTCAGCTCTGAGAGGTGTTTCAATTATTGTTTTGAAGAAATCATATGTTAATAATAGTGTCTTATCAACTCTGAAAATGTCATTCTCGCGGTCCTTAATTTTCAATCTAAAATCGCCTGCTAAATTGGCAGCAACCAACTTTCGCCTCTCTTTGAAAAAGTTGTGAATAAAGTAGTGTATGTGTTTGACCTTATAGGCTTGTGAAATAGTATTGTTTTGCATATCCTTAATTAGATTTTCAATTTGAGGAATTGTAGAAATGCCAGAAGAGAAGTCCAAAGAGGAGTCACTTAATAAAAGTCGCTGTAAATATGGAAGACTCCATTCGGTTAAAATATCTCCCATTCCTACACTTTTTGAGCATTCTAATAAAGAAACAAGTTCCTTACTTGATTCTATTTCGAATATTATGTTGTATCCATGTAAAAATTTTAGAAAAAGTTTCAACAATCGCTTATCAATGTTTGACGTCAAAATTTTAGGATATTTTTCAATTATTAAAGGATGTACATTGTAGGATGTATGCGCCAATTCGTCATAAAAAGTGTTCTCTGATGTTTGTGGATCGCAAAAGTATGCTTGGAGGTATGAAGTAAGTGTATGTGAGGAGATGTGGTTTTTCCAATAATCAAATGATGAACTTTCAGTACAGTCTGTTTCGCTAACATGCATAGCCACCATGAAAAGGATGTCAAGCGAAAATAATCGTCCGCCATATACAAATATATTTGAGCTCTTTTTGTCATAAATATATGCACTGTCGTACAGGGGTGGAACCACATTTGCTTCTAGTTCCGTGTAGGTTTTGTCAATATATTTCTTTTGTAATAAGCCAGATTCATGTTGGTATGGACAATATTCAATAATTTCTAATGTTTCTAAATTAATTACAAATAATTGTTTGCATGGAATATCGCTATCTTCTGTTTCTCCTCCAAAGAAAATAATAGAGTTTCCAATACAAATAGATTGTTGGGCCATGGTTTTTGGAAGAGTTAAATTGGAGCTAGGTAATATCGTAGTATCATTGCTATTGTCAAAAGCCATTGGGCGTTGATTTAACACATGCCATCTCATAGTCGTCAAGTTGAGAATGTAAACATTGGACGATAAAATTGCTGTTGTTCCTGGCTAACAAAATCATGTTGTCTTGAATTGAGAATCATATCAACATGTACCTACCTTCGTTTTTCCGCCATGAACAACCATCAAATCCAATTCTTCGACATATACAGCTCTATGATAAGCTAGAGGTGGTACCAGAGACATATTTTCAATATTCAATTTGGTCCATGCATCCTTAACAACGTCATATTCATAGGTTGAGTTCTCAAAATGCTTATAGTTTCCTGTGTGACCTCCGAATATGATCATTGTTCGATTTTCTTTCTATAAATTGCTGAATGACCTTCCAAACACGGCCCATTTGAGTTTTTCTTCCATATTTTGTTTTCAAATTGAAATGAAAAACAATTGGACAATAATCTTGGGAATTGAAAAAGAAATCAATTTTTTAAAATTATAATTATGAAATGATCATACCTTCTTCCATTGGTGAATCCGCCAAACACAATCATTGATGCAGGCCTTTCTTTGCTTGATTGATCATCACAAATCAATGAATGAAATATTCTTCCCTCAGGCATCATTCCTGGTTGTTGGATTGATACTTCACGCATATCCATCTCTCCCGACTCATAGTTGATTGTTTTTAAATCAATATATTGCACAATATCGGAATAAAAGTCTACACCATTTGGATGAGGAGTGCCTCCATAAATATACATTTTATCATCATAAAGAACTCCCTGACAACAGGTCCTCGACTTGACAAATCCACTTCGATCTATGAAAGGCCTCGCCAAGTAGCAATTCAGGCTTGGATTGAAATCATCAAACACTTCAATTTTCATTTTTTTGTTTGGTTTATTTTATCAACAAACAATTCATGAATGTCCTTGAAGAGGCTAATTTAATCCACACTGCGCAACGAGGATTCATGAAAAAAGGTTCAACATTAGAACACCTTATCAGTCTTCGGACTGCCTTTGCATACAAATATCAGCACAAACAAGAAGTATTTGCTATGGCTCTGGATATCAAAAATGCTTATGGATCAGTAATCCATAAAAGATTTATCAGCATTCTCAAGAAACATGGTTTCCATAGCTCTGTCATTAATCTCTTGACATCCATGATCTCCAATAGCGTTATGAAAGTACTAGTCAACGGATTTCTATCCTCCCCTTTCGATGCGAATGTTGGAGTTCCGCAAGGCGATCCTTCAAGCCCGGCATGGTTTAATCTTTATATTAACTCCTCAACTAACATACAAGAAAAGCTTAAAGGAGTTCAAATATTTAATATTACCATCCTTTTATTATTATATGCCGATGATATTTTATTGATAGCTAATACTAAGATCGAAATGAATTCCTCTCTAAAAAGCCTCGGCCGTGAATTAAAGAAAATAGGACTCGCTTTAGCTCCCAAGAAATGCAAACTCTTAGCTATTACAGCCAAAGCCAAACTATCTAAGGCCCTAGTCACTATTGGACAGGATATAATTGCCACATCTTCTTCTATTGAATATCTTGGGGGTATATGTACCTTTAAGAATGATTTTTCTTGGTCCTCTGATAATCCAATCAACAAAATCTCGAATCAACTGGCATCAGCTAAAACTTCTAATCTATATCTCAACAGCATCACCACTACATTAATGTCCAAAATCATATCTTTGCCTAGATATGCCTGTAGTTTCAATGGAATCAATAAGAATTCTCTAGACAAAGCAGATATTATGGTTGCTAATTTTGTCAGAAAGGCTATTGGATTAGATTACACATTATCAAAATCAGTCATTTTTAATTGCAAACAAATTGGGGGCCTTGGTTTTACTCGCCCCTCTACTTTATTCTCCATTGAACCTATTTGCACAGCAGTTAGATTATTCAACTCCTCCTCCACCATCACCAAAAATGTTGCTTTGGCTGCTTGGAATGATCTTACCTTTAACGAACCATTTTGGAACCACGTGAAAAATATCGCTGCTCAAAATAATTGGTCTCTCCAATACATTGATGAACGGTATTCATTTGTCAATGAATACGAAACCCCTGTCGACCCTAGAACTGAATTACTAAAAAACGATAGATCAACCATGAGCATCTCAGGCCTTGGAATCTTAGACCATAATAGAACCTGGCATCCATGTGCCATCTCCTTTTGGAGCAATTATTCACTCAAACCCTTCCAACAACGACTATTATTTGCTCACCTACACAAAGCAGAAATCCTTAGAAATTTCGGAAAAGATTACCCTAATTGCCACATTTGCAATACCAAAGCCAACTGGGAACATGTATTCACCTCATGCACCATGTGTGGTCCGGAAATCAAATCATTATACACAAAATGGGACAACAGTTCCCTCAAATTCAATGCCCCTCTTATCAGACTTCCCTCAAACCATTCTTCTCTCTCTTGTATTCCAATGGATTGGAATGGTAGTATCAAAGACGAACCTCTTCAACAATTAGACTTATCTCCCCCAGCTTTGACTGATTGGCTAAATGAAATATATCTCTCATTCGCTGCCTATGTTGGCAGTTGTTACAAAAACGCCACTTGGAACAGTTCAACTGTACTCAAGAAGGCTAGAGGATATATAATTAAACCCAAAACTGCAAAATTTGCAACTGCTTGGGAAACATTTAGCAGTCAGCTTGGCGAACTCAACTCCAACAACATCTACACCTCACACCTACACACCCATTAGACACACTATCGTCGGACAATTGAGTACCTATAATTTGTTTATTTTTCAATAAACCCATTCCTGTATTTTTTTGTTTGGTTTAGTTTTGGATTGTTGGTTTCATCGGTGAAAGCAACAGGAGATAGCTCATGAGTTGAACTATATTTTGAATTTGGATGAAATTGTCCCCTAAGGGATTTCCTTCCAAGATTTGATGATGGTGACTGAGAAATACTGTTTGATCCAAATCAAAAGCTACGAAACACGAGAAGGAAAATTTATGTGTTCTGAGAAGCAACGAAAGAGATTAGGAATTTCTCATGCTGCGAAATTATCCCTCACACTCAAAAAATGTCTCAACCCACACCATCATCATCATCGTCATCAGGAAACTGTTCTCTCAACGGACATGTGCTAAGTATTCAGAGCCATGTGGTCCATGGATATGTGGGAAATCGTTCTGCAGTTTTTCCCTTGCAATTATTGGGATTTGAAGTCGATTTTATTAACTCGGTACAATTTTCCAATCATACAGGATATCGGAATGGATGGAAAGGACAAACCTTGAGTGGGGATGAACTTGCTCTATTATTTGAAGGATTGCAAATGAATAATTTAGAAGGATCTTACACTCATCTTTTGACAGGATATATCGGAAGTGAATCCTTTTTACAAAATATTTTACATATCCATGACAAATTGATAGAGAGAAATCCAAATTTAATTTATGGTATGTTTTTGACAAGTGTTTGGAATATGATAAAGAAATGATGATGCAACAAAACATTTATTTTGAACAACATGTTGCATTCATTGACTCGGATTGTTTCATAATGAACAATGGCAGTTTGTGACCCAGTTCTTGGAGATGCCGGCAAACTGTATGTTCCTGAAAAGCTCATCCAAATCTACCGAGAGAAAGTGTTGAACCGTGCAACTGTAATAACACCAAATCAATTTGAGGCAGAGACATTGAGTGGAAAGAAAATTAAAAACGAACAAGATGCACTTGATGTTATTGATTTATTCCACAAGGAGCCATATAACATTCCTGTGGTTGTTCTAACAAGTGCTGAATTTGAAGGTGATAAAGAGAATTTGACTTTATATGCAAGCAACAAGAAAACCCAAAAGAAATACAGGATCAAGTTCAAGAGATTGCCAGGAACATTCACTGGAACAGGAGATGTGGTGAGTGCTCTCTTTTAGCATTCTATGCTATCTATGGAGATGACAATTTTGACACATCTCTCGAGAAAACACTTGCTGGAATTCAGGCTGTGCTCGAAAAAACTCCAACTGGTGAGGAATTGAGGCTTATTGAGTCAAGATTTGTTCTTATGGATCCACCAATCAAATATAAGGCAGAACAAATTTAAGTGACGCCATCTCGACTTTTAAATTATCATGATCCTATGACATTCATTACTCGCGAACAAAGTAAATTACATTTTGGTTTAAATTTCTCAATTCAACGATCAATGGTTGAATCAAAATCCACAATCCAATCCCTATTAATCCACCATATATCAATGACTTGAAATTTCTATTCAATAATCCAATCAACCATCCAAGTATCTTCCATCTCGTTGCTTGATGTTCATCATTGATTTCGGGATTTGTTTTTTCATTCTTCCGTAAAACAAGATACTCTTTCACTCCATACTGAATCAAAAAACATCCAAATGATCCACTCACAAATGCAAAACCATATCTAATCAATTCCTTGATCAAAGCAACAGAAATCCTCTCCAACTGAGTATCTCGAATGATCTCATTGGTTTCCGAGTTGATGATTCGAACCATTTTTTGAGAAAGAAATACTGAGCACACGCAATGGAAATAGTGGTCTTCATTACTCTATTGATGAGATGAACACACTCTGCACCTCAAAATCCAAGACGAGGTGCAGACTGTGTTCATTTAAATTGTAAAGAGTTCTTGAACAGACTGTCAAACAAAGAATCTCTACCAAGTTCAGCCGAATGTGTTGGTGGAAAAGAACCTACAAAAAAAAATATTCGTTTCCGAACGCTCAGATTTATTCTATCATCATCATCAAAGCGTTTTTCGGAAAATGAAGGAAGAAGTACAAGTCATTAAACCACCACTTGATAAAAGAGAATACAAGATTATTAAACTGGAAAATGAATTAGAGGCCTTGTTGGTGAGCGACCCTGAAGCAGCACAAGCAGCAGCGGCTATGGATGTCAAAGGTATGTGTGAATACATTTGATGATATACCTTTTTCTGAATATTCATAACTTAAATTAGTGGGTCACTTTTCCGATCCTTGTGATTTTCCTGGATTGGCTCACTTTTGTGAGCATATGTGTTTTTTGGGCTCTTCTAAATATCCAAAAGAAGGAGAATATCAGGATTTCGTAAAGAATAATGGTGGCTTTACGAATGCATTTACTTCAACAGAGAACACAAACTTTCATTTGTCAATTTCTAATGCTCATCTTGAAAAAGCATTAGATATGTTTGCACAATTCTTTATTTCTCCATTATTTACAGAGAGTGCAACAGAAAGAGAAATGTTAGCTGTCGACAGTGAATTTAAAAAGAATTTAAATGATGATGTATGGAGAGACTATCAACTAATGAAATCGACTGCAAATCCTCACCATCCATTCTCCAAATTTGGAACTGGTTGTTTAGAGTCCTTGGAAATAACTCCAAAGCAAAAAAATTTAGATGTACGAAAGGCATTAATTGATTTTCATTCAAAATATTATTCAAGCAATCAATGAAACTTTGTGTTATTGGACAATATCCAATATCACAACTTGAAGAGTGGGTTAGAAGCAAGTTTGCAGATATTCAAAATACGAAAGCTACAACTTCAAGCTTTTTTCCAATGAATGTAAAACCCTACAGCAAGAATGAAATTTCAAAGTTTATTAGGTCAAAGAGCATTTCTGATTTGAGACAGTTGTCACTCATATTTCCCGTTCAACTTACTCTTCCAACTGTTGATGGAAGGCACATTGCTTACAAGTTTAAACCTGAAAAATACGTTTCTCATTTGGTAAGTAGTAACAGTTTCACAAACTAAATTAAGATTTTTGATGTTACTGAACTTCAAAGATTGGACACGAGTGCAAAGGTTCTCTATTTTCTTTGTTAAAGAAGAAGGGATGGGCTTCTTCATTATCAGCTGGACCTTATGCAAGATTTGGTGGCAATAATTGTGTTGATTTACAAAAAGAGGATAGCTTCCTTTTATATTCTGTAAATATTGAGCTGACTATTGAAGGCGAAGACCATATATATGAAATTGTTGAATATTTATTTGAATATATTGATTTGATCAAGTCGAAGCAAGGAATCCAACAATGGGTGTATGACGAGGTATCTCATTTGGCAACGTTGGCTTTTGTCAATCTAGAGTATCCTAGATCTCTCCAGTTTGCTAGTGACATGGCGCAAAATTTACAAAAGTATTTGCCTTCTGATGTAATTTCTGGTGTTCATATTTTCGATTACAACGAAGAGCTAATCAGAGAATGTTTAAACCAACTTAACCCATACAACTTCAACATGTATTTCCGTAAACCTAGTTTTGAAAATATAGATTTTGAAGAAGAAAAATGGTACAAAACTCAATACTGTCTGCAAGACCTTCCACAGGAATGGCTAGAGAAGCTTTCAAAGGTTACACATTCAACAACTGAACTCACATTCCCTGCGCCAAATCCGTTTATTCCAGAAAATTTTGATATTAAGGGAACAATTACTAACACTTCCAATGATGACGGACCTTCCATTTTGTACCAAGCTCCTGACAATAAGATGAAGGCATGGTTCAAACAGGATAATTATTTTGGAACACCACGAGGAAATATTTTTTACAATGTCATTCTCCCACAAACCAAGTCAGACCCTCGTACAGTTATTTGCTCAGAAATGTATTGTGAAATGGTTACAGACTATTTGAACGAAGATCTTTATTTTGCAGAAGTTGCTGGTTTAACTTACAGTTTATCGACCAATGCAACTGGCCTTAATGTGCTGCTATTAGGGTATAATGACAAACTTAAGGATCTCAACAACAAGATATTTAGAGACATGGTGTCCGTCGTTGACAATAAGCTTCTCAAATTGGATAGATTTGAAGTGATCAAGGAAAGGTTGACAAGAACTTATGCTAACTTTAAGTTTGCTCAACCATATGAACATGCAGTTATTGAGGCTCATAGACTTCTTTTTCAAAAAAAGTTTTGTTCATTGGATTATATTGACATCATTGATACCATTGATTTTGAAGATTTTTATAACTTCATTAAGGTTTGGTTTAAGACTCTCCGAGTGGAATTATTAATACATGGAAACTTTACTGCACAAGAAGCATTGGAGATATACTCTGCAACTGAGAAGATTTTGTTCGATAGAAGTGTAAAAGTGATGGTTCCTTTATCAAGTCAAGAACATAGAGAACATATTGTTCAACTTCCAACTGGAACGGACATCATATTTCCAATATCAAATTACAACTTGAATAATCCTAATCATGCCCTAGAGATTGTGTACCAATTAGGACAGCGCTCAGTTGAGTTAGATGCGGTAAGTAGATTGAAAAAATAATATTATTGATGTTTATCAAATAATTGGTTCACGAACTATATAGATGGCGGAACTATTTAACCAAATCATTAGTAACCAGTAAGTACTCAATAATGAAAAGTCAGATTATGATTGATATGATGATGTAGATATTATCTTGTCTTGAGAACAGAAAAACAATTAGGATATATTGTGCATTCGAGGTATGTTGCATTAACTTGAAAATGTCACCATAATTTATGACCATCGTGATAGAGTGAGATTTGATCATAATATTTGTTCTTTTAGTTGTATCGTTCAATCTCCATCCCACAACCCTAATGTAGTGTTAAAAGAACACGATCAATTCTTTGTGAACATTAATGCACTATTGTCATCATTGACTGAGAAAGATATTAAAGCACATCTTGATGCATTAATTTCCAAAATAACCGAGAAGGAAAAGCAAATGAAAATGGAATCTGCTAGACACATGGCTGAAATTACCAATCGTCAATACAAGTTCGACAGAAAGCTTAAAAAGTAGAAGCCATCAACAAGTTTAAACTCCGTGACGTACTTTACTTTTACAACAACTTTATGATACCTAGTGGTGAAAAATACAAGCGTGCAGTGATCATGATGTTTGCTGCATCCTCTACAATTGATCATGACAAAATTGCTCAGTTCGACGATAACAGAAAAGTCATTGTTGTCCCTCAAGATGATCGATTCGAATTCAAGCAGACACTTGGACTCTTTCCCAATTTTGTTGAGTTCTAGACAGAAATTATTTGACATAAAATCAACCAATTACTTGAAAAAATCAATCCACATCTTGTGACTATCACTTCTTTACGCCTTTCCAAACAAAGCCAATAGAACACATCCAGGAATTAAAAATATTAAGGCACTCACAAAAATTGTGTGATTGACTTCCAACCAATTAATTCTTTGAAAAAATTAATCCACATAATCCTGCCACAACCAAACTCGTTTGTGTTAAAGGAATACCTATGGTCATGCCCAGGGGAGAAAGCGCTACATAGAACCCAAAAATATTGCCGATTTGCCACAAACAAGCAGTTAGTGTTGGAAAGATTGCAATTTTAGGATGGAAAGGAACTATCACTCTATATCTAACAAAATAATAAATCAGAAATATCAACACCAAAAATGAAGTAATGGCCTATGTGAAAAGTTATACACCAGTCAACAACATGTCGAGTTAATAAATTATACTCACCATTGCACCGACACCAAAGCCAATCACATAAGCCACTCCTTGATGAGTCTCCAATCGTGTTGGAACAAACATTGAGCCTCCAAAAATTCCAACTCCAATTGCGCACACCACTCCAATAATGTAATCTTGAGATTTGGTAAGGTATTTCACAAATTTAAGGTGTTTTTTAGGCCTTAATTCCAAATCATCCTCGTCGTTATTCAATTTTGCAACTTCTGCTTTTTGGTGTGTCTCATGAAATCTAGTGTCCTCTGAACCATCATGATGATCCTCAGTGACATGGCGATCGGATGAATGTTCTTTTTCATCATTTTCCGGAAGCTTATCCTGGATATCAACTGCAACCACATTAGTATTCCATTTCGAACATGTAGCCACTCCCACAATTCCCACCACCATCAACACCAAACCCAAAGCAGTCAAATAATAATTTCCAATCCTAGATTGAAACAAGGTAACACTCCAAACAAAACTTGTCATAATAGTGGTTCCACTCCAAATTCCTTGTGCAATGCCAAGTCCTAATTTTGAAATGGCCACTAAGGATAATAAGGAGCACGGAACCCAACAAGCAGCTCCGAGCATTCCCCACAAGGAGAAATACCAATCATTCCAAGCAAGGACTATGAATGAAGTGATGAACACTACGGAGGAAAAGTAAAATTGAAATATGAAAGGATTCATGTTGGCTTGTTGAACCCATTTTACTTTTAACGGAAGACCAAAGGTACCCCATGCGAGAATACTAATGTAGTAGTAGCATCGTAGTGGTGGTTGTTTGAACATGTTCATCATCAACGGTAATCATTGATAGAGATGATGATGATGTGGTATTGAGATTTAATGGAGCGTCCATATCATACAACCTACCAAATCACAACTCCGATCCAGCCGAACCATTCAGGAACGTTCATGGAATTTGGATTCGTTCCATTGTTGTTGGTGTCGTTATTTGATGAAAGAGAGATCAACGAGTGTATTCCGATGCTGAAAAAATTATTTTCGGCTGGTAATTGAAATTGATTCATTGTTTTTCGTGAAACAACTGAAAAAGATTTTTAGTTGACTCAAAAAGGAGATTATTTAATTGTTGTTAATGACAAGAGGAGCAATGTTGTAAAATACATTTAAAAATATATTTAAATTGACTCTAGGATTGTTGTTGAAAACACAGAATATACAATATCAAATTACTTCTTTCTCTTTCTCAAGATGAGTCGTGTAATTTGAGCCGAAGAAATGGGTTTGTTCACATTCCTAGCTGGTTTAAGAAGAGTTTCCAACCTATAATTTTGAATAGTGAAATGCTTGTTTTGTGACAAGTCTTCCAGCAGTGTGTGGAATGCTTCCTTATTTCCTCTACATACATCATTGAGCAACATTGGTTCAACTTTTTCCATCAAAAATTGCTTTCTCACATCGATAGGCTTGTTATAAACTTGGTCAAATGTAAGATTTACGGGTGTTGAAGGAGCTTGCTCTTGTTTTTTCTGTTTTTTTGGTGCTTTTTGTTTTGATTTGGGTGATGTAATTTTTCTCTTTGTGTCTGTAAAGTCTTGAGGTGTAAGTTGGGTAATAATGTTTGTTGGAGGAGGGGTGTTGTTAAGTGGATTCATAGTGGTCAACTGATGGTTCAAATTGTTATTCAAATTCATTGTACTATATGAGCGGTTAGAATTATTATTTAGAGTGCTATTCATCATTAGAGTGTTCATTACATTACTACCACCAGAGTAATTATTAAATATCAAATTTGATCCATACATGGATCCATCATTCAAAGTGTTTGGTGTAGCGGTGGTAGGAGTATTGCTGCCATCAACACTACTGCTGCTAGTATTGCCAATGAGTGGTTGGATTTTAGTTTCCCAACACTGATCGCAACAAATGTTCTTTGCTTGTCTTTGCTTTTTCAAGTAATCTAAATGTTTATCGGAGACTAGATAGCTCAAATGTGGTGGAATTCTCTTGATTTGGTCAACTGCAACAAGAAAGCCATTCGGGTGGCCCTTTTCATTCTCGCAAAGGCAACACAATTTACGTACAACTCCCTCTCCAACCTTCTTTTTCTTTTCACCTGGTGTAGATGGTGTGGTTGGTGTTGGTGGAGGCTGTTGTTGGCTAGAGTTGTTCATCAAGGAATTCAGTGGATTGTTATGGATGGTACTAGAATTGTTGGAGTAAAGCATGTTATCATCGGACATGGGTATTAAATTGTTACTAGGAGTTGTTGCTGAATTGGGCTGAATACCAACAGCATGATTTGAACTGATTGTTTGATGGGAAGATGAAGGAGACGCATGTAGTTGTGGAATAGATATCATTTCGTTATCAAAGGGTGGAACATTGGTATTGAAAACAAAATGATCAGATGATGAAGATGCCACTTGGAACAAGGGATCATCAGGGTCAAAAGGCGGAAGGATAATGTTACTATTATTATTCGTTGAATTATAGTTTGAAATTTGGGAAAATGCATGATGATGAGAGTTGAGATTCATGGGGTAAGTGGCTGATGATGATGGTGATGCAGTGGGCATCATGATATGATGATGAATATTGGTGGGAGGATTGAGAGGAGTATGGTGGAGATAGGACATTTTTTTATGAATATCAACAACAAACGTTTTTCAAAAACAATACAATTACTTGATTTGGAAGTGATATATGGATATTGGAATGTTTGATTATGATGTGTTTTACTCTTGGAAAAATGTTGAAGATTGGGAGGTTCATCATCCCTACCTCCATTCAACAATACGATCCGAAAACATCTAAATCCACGAAGATGCCACACAGAAATGACGGGAGATTATTGTAATATCGATGGAATAAAGACTCAGAACCAATCAATGACATCAGTTAATTTGGTTGGTTCATCAAAAGTTGATGAAGAGTGATCCGAAATTAATTTGTGTAGTAAACTTCATAGTCGTATCTCACCGATGACGGAGTCGCTTTTGATGTTTTCGGGATGAGGACTGGTTTTCCTGATTGGTCTGAATCATCAGAAAGGAATCGATGAACCTTTCAGTTCCAATACGATCCTCTCTGTCCCTATCAAACATAGCCACACATTTCAGACCCTTTGGCTGGAATATCTTGTCATTTGAATGATTAATGATCTGACCAATCTTCCATTTTGTGGATTCGGTTAGAATATCAATTCGAGACTTTTTCTGACGCGACTTGTAAAGGTACCAGCTGAGAAAGCAGCAAAGCCATATCCCTCCTGTTAGAATTATTAGAAGAATATTTACAGCAAGGATTGTTCCGATCCTGTCAAGGCCTTTTGATTGTTCTTTCTTGAGATTCTTGATTAGACGATTAACATCGTCCATAAATTGCTCAAATGTAGTTCTATCAATTTCATATTGTTCTAACAGCTTGGGATAAATGTCATTGAAAGTGTCTGAATAAGGATTAAAATTGCATTGCCACAGCGAAGCCGAATCCGAATGTCCAGTCATCATTTATGTTGAAATAATTGTTTAAGGCTTTTCTTTAAATTTTTTTGTTTTAAACTGAGATCAATGTCTGGGGTCAATATTATGATAAACAACTTCAAACGATGGACATAATCATGTGGTTGAAGGACACACTTCTCCACAATCCCATGCATGGGTCGATGGTTTCA